GTTTAATGATAAATCGTTAATTTTTGGATGAATATTCAATGTTATTTAAACTTAAAATGCCTTTAAAAATTAATGTGACATTCCGGTAAGCTTTTTTATTATATTTTTCGTTATTTAATGCAATGTTTCTGATATATTTTTACAACAGCAGTTGTAAAAAATTAAAATACATAATTATGATTTATTATATTTAGGTATTTGGACAAAATTACTTAGGTATTAAATAACCAAAAATAACGATTTTAGTTATATTGATGTAATTTGAAATATTATTCGTGGGCACTTGAAACTTGTAAAGTATATAAGTTTTAAAAATATAATAATATACAAATAATATTAATTCATTCTACCGGCTACCGTGTTAATAATAACCTAAATATAATCTGTAATATCCTAAGCAGATAAACCGTCTCCGCTTAGAATCATATTTTGTATGCAATATTATTGTGATATTTAATTTGACTTTAACCATCCTCTCTTATAGTGACCCAGTGTAACCTATTATACAACAGTGTCAGCAGAGCATCACSCGCTTTCCTTCTTTTATTTTTAATTTAAGATATAAAAATTAAAACTATTAGGAATTTCAAACACAAAATTTCATATCTTACGTGCAGTTTTTTTGTTTGAACTTCTGGATGTAACGATCTGATTCTCTAGCTCCCTTGAAGTTCGTTTTGAGCAGATTCTATTGTAATTAAATATTTGGTTAAATCAGTTAACTATCAATTGTTTTTCATCTAAGTAAACAATAGTCARTTGTATATTGATGGCTTCATTATTTAAATTATATATTATAATTTATAACTAATGAGTAATGATTAATGGTTAACTCTAAGAATCATGTATATTTTTATGTTTCAGGTAACCGTTTGTTGGTAATTGTGAACCCAAAAAGTGGTGTTGGAAAATCACGAGAAATATTTCAACGTAAAATAGTACCTATTTTAAATATGGCTGATGTTGACTACGATTTGCACATTACATGCATGCAGAATGATGCTAGGTAAATAGATTTGAAGTATTTATAAACTATTTACCCGGAACTTAACATAAATCTATATGTATACGTTTGTCCTCCATTCAATTAAAATTAATCCAGGATTTCCTCCTTTGACATCATCCATTGTTTTGCATTTTTTATCCTCACTGCGTTAGCCCTAAATTAAAATCACTTATTGCTTAAAGTTACATTTAACAGATGTTTCTGTTCAAATAATAATATAGTTGGATAGATATAGAGTCACCTCTACACTTACAAATGTATTTACCATGAAAATTGTATGCATAGGACCTTAAAATTATATAGTGGATAAATATCATTAATGATGCTAATTTATTGTATTCCTATAATTTTACTACACAATTATTATACCTTATAACTTATGACAGTTTTTTGCATTTGTTTATTATGTTTCGGTGTAACAAGGTGTCTCAAGAATTTACCCATTGCGATATCTCCCGAAATAATGGAGATATCGAAATTCTGGTTTTCTAATAAGACTTACTGGGATAAGAACTGCAATTATTTCATATTTTAAATTATTTCCAAAAAAATTTMCTATGGCCATTTTGTAGAGTTTATTTTTCTGAAAATATCGACGTTKCAAAATTTTATTTTCATTGATTTTCTGATTTTGAATTTTTTTTTTCAGTTTTGATAAAGATTGGAAATTTTTTAACACCGTAGTGTTATCAAAAATGTGACCCGCCGCACCACGCGCGTTTTCGTACAGCCGGCCAAAAAATTTCAGTATGCTTATTTATAAATTTATTATCATATTTTATTTCTTCAAAACTAGAAAAAAATATTAAAAATCAAGAAATTCATAAAAATAAAACTTTAAAACGTCAATATTTTCAAAAAAATAAACTCTATACAAAATAGCTGTCTTTAATTTTTTTTTTAAATAATTAAATAAAAAATATATTTTTTAACTTTTTGACCAAAACAATAAAATAAAGTAAATAATTGTTGTTCTTATCTTTGTGAGTCTTATTAAAAAACAGAATTTTGATATCTCCATTATTTCGTGAGATATCGCAATTGGTAAATCCTCGGGGAACACTCAGTATATTACCTATAATATATACATACATATTTTGCACATTTTGAGTATATATAATTGGATGGTACTTAGTACCTACTACCTATATTATTTTCAATGCTAAATGTTTATTATTTAAACCTATTTGAGAATACAAATGAAGGTCATCACTATTGTAATTATACTTATTTGCCTGGTTGTTTGCATTTGTTAAAATATCATTAAATTAGATAATTAGTGATAATACAGTCCTTTTGATTTTGTTAAATCCTATTCAAAAATCCAATTATTACAAAAAAAGAACTAATTTACTCYCTAGACACTTGCACATAATACCTAAGCACGTAATATTTGTTTGCATGGTTTATTCTTTGGTATATTTTTAATCTTTGTTTAATATGCATTTTGGATTCTAAGCATAGATAGCGAAGAATGTATTGATTTTTACAATGATGTGTGTTTTTTGTATGTCTACCTACATRTAGATAGTGTACGATTTAAAGTAAAAAAAATGTTTGATTTTCTAATTTTGAGATGACTTCTAGTAGTAAATTGTATCGAATGCTACTTTTAATAAAAGATAAAAGTGAAAGTTGTAAATATTTTTAAAAATAATCGGTAATGACAGAAAAAACAAATAATCATGTGGATACTTGAAATTTCAACAAATTATGAATTCAAAAACATTATCATAATATTTTTACTCTTTTGGGGCTAGGTAGTTATTGAAATTTAGTTCAGTCAAAAAACTTGAAAAAATGATTTACATTAATTAATAAATTTAAAACAAGATTTCTCGTAAGTAATTGATACTTTAATCGAAAAGTAGCTAGCTACTATTAGATGTATTTTCTTAGCAAGAAAAATTGACGAATAGTATTATATATAGTTTTTGTCTTTTTGATATAAGTTGGTATACGATATGCCTATAATAGTGCATTGCAAAATATCGAATGGTTTTGCTCAAAATTTATTTTAAGAAAAACAGATATGTATTTTAAATAAGGTATTATTGCCTTCACAATTGTTTTAGTAGAACCGCTTTTCAGATTATTATGATTTATAAAATTATACACATAAACTAATATACGGAATAGGAATATAGGATGATATTTTAGATTATAATATTATTAGTTTTATATCGGTCATTATATCATTATTATTCTGTGAATACATCTTGTAGTCGGCAAACGACTTGAAGGTCTACGATTAGAAAACAAACATAGTTGGTACTTATTAATTAAGCGAGGCAATTTCTCAATTGTAATGATAATAAATAATATCGTCTATACATATATAAATCGACATATTTTAAATAATAGGTAACTGGAGCTTGGAAATCGAAGCATATTAAAACAGAAAAAAAGTGCATTGAAAAATATACATATTTACCATATAATTCCTTAATACAACTACTGCGTACACTAATATATGGGATGAGATATATAAAAATAATTATTTAAAAAAATAAAAATATTTTACTTATAATTTTTTAAATTTTTTTATGCTCTAATTTATACATTTTAAGTTATAAGATTCTTTATTATTTTTTACTATAATTTAATGTGAACATTAATGAGTATTAGGTATACTTTATTGATTATAAATCTATAATAATATCAGTGATGTTATAATATATTATTATTAGTGTACATATATACTTTCTTATGCTTACTCGAATTCAAAACTTATTTATATAGGCATAGTTGTTTGTTTTTCGTTGAAGTATTTAAAAACCGTCAATAATTTCGAATGATATGATGGTTTTGTCACTAAGTCYTTGTGGATGTAAGAAAATGATATATTATACCTATTACTTATATAATATAYTTCCCTTCAAAATTTTAGATCAAATTGTTTAATTTATATTTCGAATTTTAGGCAACTATCAATATTATTTCAAGGAGCTTAAATTTTAAATGTATAATGAGTAAAATGTTTTTTAATTGTAAGAATGTAAGATAAAATATCCTTGTTGATAATTCCGATTTATTACAATTTAGTAATAGTRTTATACATAATATATAATGTATATATATTACGTATGTGTCCTCCGACYACCGTTGTCTTTTACTAATATGTAGGTTACTAAACGCGCATTTAATGATATATATTGTAAAGTATATCGTAATATGCCATTTTTACGTAATAAATCTGTATTATCGGTTTGAAAAATGTATTGTTGTTCTACGCGAGTTATAATGGAATGAYGGATAAACACGTCCATTCACGATGTGTGTAATAAACACGTTTTTGGTTTTCTATCTGTCCTTGCGGCTTGCGTACCATATTAAATTTTCTTTTAGCAATTTCGGAATAAGAATTCGTATGATGGCGGATAACAGCGATCGGCGATGTCTTATCAACGCATGTTACCCACATTAATGAATTGGCCGTATTGTAGTGTATTGTATTATATTGTATAATTGTTATGTGCTCTGTTATTTTATRGGATCAAAATAATTAGCAATTGTTCGTGATTTTATACAATGTAACTATCAACGCTTCTACAACCAGTGTTAAGACTTTTTATTTTCGATATTTTTTTATCGGTACCTATATGGGTGAGTTTTATTAAATATTCAAGGTTTTCAAGATAAATACGCATTATAATTTTTTGACATTTAAAAAAAATCCAAAATGTCAAATGTCCAAAGCTATAAGCCTAATTAAAAGATAAGTCAACATTATGTTATAAATGTTATATGCAGTCCTGTAAAGAATACTTTTAAAAAGTATTTGAGTAAATACTCAAATACATTTTTTTTAAGTATTTAAGATACTACTCAAATACTTTTAAAAAGTATTTGGAATACTTTTGGTTTTTAAAGTAGGTTTCTAATGATTTATCGTAATATACATATATTACGATAAAACACATAGTAAGTTTATAATAATTTTTATTTTATTTATTATTTATTRAATACATTTTTGTTAAATTTTAAGAACATAATGTTTTCAAAATGTTCATCGGCCATACTGTTTCTCTTTTTTGGTCATGATTTCTCCATCTACACTAAATACCAGCCCTCTCCATTGAAGCACTGCTTGGCAGCGGAGTATTGAATTTAATGAAAAAATAAAAAACCAAAGTATTCGATACAAACAAGTTGGTACTTAATACAATAATACTTAAAAAAGTATTTAAAAAGTTATTCAATACTTAAAAAAGWATCTCAAATACTTTACAGGACTGGTTATATGTGCCTATAGAAAATTTGGTTAACACTTTAAGTTTCGTCAGATACTTATTTTTGACTTGCGTTAATAAAACAAAGTCGATTTTATCATATTAGACTAGTTTTGAGTGAAAGTTTCCTATCTTTCTTGATTAAAAAAAAAAGATTAGGTTAAGTTAGGTTTTAATTTTAGCCTTTCAAAATTACCTATAAGAAACCAGTTTGCTACCAGAAACCACCACTTAAGTTGAAAATCAAAGCATTTTTGTTGGTATAAAAAATCTTCAGACAGTGGCGAACTGGACGACCGGGATACCGGGAAATTTCCCGGTGGGCCGCTGCTGGTATAAAACATATACTTATTAATATTATAATGGTGAAATTATAAATTAGAATATTATCTATAATTAATAATAAGTATGTAAATGTAATATAAAATATTATTAAACATTAAAACCTAGATTTCTGATAAGGTATTTTAAAACACGGGACCAGCTTGTGTTCGACCAGACTAGGCTTGTTCACAACTTGTTACAAGTTTAAAAAGTGGATATAATTCTGCTGTACAGTAGGTTACATGCAAGTAGGTCATTGTAATGGATGGTATTAAATTTGAATTCAATGATATAATATTGTTGTATACGAAAAACGATTCTGAGACAGTATATCTATAATATTACTATAGAGATAGGTAGGCATATTTTATAATATCATTGAGATTAAAGTAATTAATTTTAGTATTTTCCATCCACTTTCCTATATTTTAAGTGTTCATACAAATAAAACTTCTAAAAAAAAAAAATCTGATTATTATAATGAACACAATTAGAAATAAATTAATCTATATTGCAACGGATTGCTTAAACGAAATGGTTAGGTCACATATTGTATACGATTATACGAATACTAATAGCTTACCTTTGTTTATTTCGTAGACGAGTTTGTGATGATACACGCTTCGTACCTATCGCACATAAGCGAAGACGTAATAATAGCGCCTAAATCAAAATTGAACGACGGTGTGATTTGGCTGTTGGTTATTAAAAATGGCATATCCAGAACGACTTTTCTACAAGTAAGTGAATCATTAATCATTATATATTAAATRATATATTTGGAAATATGTTCAATAACAACCCGTGTTTATTAAGGCTGTACGTACGTAAACGTCCTATTAGAGAATCTTTTTTTAAGTTTTCTATCCTTAGTTATAAAAACTGAACATTTCATAATTTTTTAATTACAATGATTGATAATTTTCAAGATATTGGTATATCTTGTCAAAGTTCTAACTTTAAATGCATATAAAAAAAAATTGTGTCTATGCATTTTTAATATTTTTCGACCGTTATTGTAACAATATTATAATAAGAGGAGCCTTTCATTGCCTTTTCACGCATTTTGGGCAAACAAATACAATTTTATTGATATTTATAGAAAAAAAACTAAAAAAACATGAAATTTTAAATTGTCAGTAAACAGTTCAAAACAAGTCAAAATATTTTGAAAATGTTATGGTGTATAAAATTACTTATATAAACTTTCAGTAAAAATTGCATGTATCTACGGTCATTAGTTTTAGAGTTACATCAAAAAATAAAAATAAACTTTCTTTTGTTTTTCACGGCACTTTTGAAAACTACTGGGAAAACTACCAACTATATATTCAMTTTCCTATCAGAAAAGATACTGTTGAAGAAAATCTAAGCATTTTTACTGTCCTAAAAGGTGCTGATGGACACAAAAAAATAAAAAACACACATCATTATAAAAACAATACATTCATCGCTCTGCTATAGAATAAAATCTAAAATAGTTATTAGGTACATAGGCCGTTATAGCATCCACACATGACGTATAAAAATATATTATATATTTAAAAGGCTGTTAGTATATTGAGGGCCTCTACAATTATGACTTTCTCGGACTGTATTTTTCTCTCAGTCCGCCATTGTCTTCAGATAAAAAAAATAAAAATAAAAATAAACTAAAATAACATTTGTAAAATACAAAAATTCATCGCTCCGTTCAGAACCTTAAACATTAGGAATGTAGGATACTAGGATTTACTTTACAAATACTGAAGTTTTATAAACTATTCAATGAAATATTAAAATTAAAGAAGGTAAGGGGTCCCTTCATCGTGATTGTTTTCTCCACTCAAAAAATATTAAATTAATCAAGTTTCATAGTAATAAAAACAATTTTTACTTAATTGAATTATATGTATACATATAATAATTTAACTCTAAGCTTAGTTCAATTTTTTTCTAYTTGAAAAACAGCTTTCTTATAAATTGATAATTTTAGAATCTGCACATTTTATCTCTAGATGTGCCAATGGTCAATTTTGTACTTAAATCATGTACCCTACACACTACACTTTTCGTTTCGATTTAAATATTATTGTGATTTGTCAAGTAACTGCGCTTATAGTACTACGCAGTAGTGWTGTCACTATAATTTAACTTGTACATATTATTATGTGGTAGATATAACGTTGTACTTACATTATTATATTTCAACAATCGATGTACATGCATTGCACCCGTTATGCTTTGTTTGTTAACAGGAACTTGATGAGAACGAGTAACATCTATAAATGGGGCCGTGGTGTGGTAGTACTTGGTGGTGATGGACTCATGTTTGAAGTGATTAACGGCCTCATGGAACGGTCAGACTGGCAGAGGGCCTTTGAGTATCTAACTCTGTCCGTTATACCCGGGGGTTCCGGCAACGGGATGGCCAAATCGATAAGTTTCGAGACAAAGTGAGCTCAAACTTTATTTTACTCAAACTGCAACGTTTTGAATACAACCACTTAAACGTTTATAGCGAACCCTACAATCCGGATCCAATACTCATATCGGCGCTAAACATCGTCAGCGGTAACAGGTGTCCAATGGATCTAGTTAGAGTCGAGACTCGTACACAAGTCGTATACTCTTTTTTGTCGATCGGTTGGGGTTTTATCGCTGACATTGACATAGAGAGCGAGAGAATTCGAATGTTAGGTAGCCCCAGGTTTACTATATGGAGTATTGCCCGACTTATTGGTAAGGCTTGCCGATCGTACGCGCTGTTTAGCGCGTTCGTCGGTGGTCGCAATGTAAACGTTGTATTGTGTTCGTATATATAATATAGGTCTGAGGAGTTATCCCGCACGGTTGTCGTATTCCAAAATCAACGATCTGGAAACCGAGACGAGAATGAACAATTACGCGAGAGGCACGTCAGGTGATTTCCAAGAGGTCGCCGACGACGAACCAGTGTCGATCGAATTTGGAATAGATCCGGTAATTATAAATACAATGTGATTACGTTGTTTTTGTTTCTGCAAACAAGCAGAGTTGTTTCTGGTTATAGATAAATTATTTCTATTATTTTCGCGTAGCTGGAGGAATTTGCCGTACGCGCGCGGGTTGAGAGTTTTTCGTCGTTAATATCCAAGCACACRGCGTTCATGTCTGTCAACGAAGCTCCAAGCTTCTCATCTATACCAGACGTGATCGAGGGATCCGAAGTTTGGGTGCGCGGACCTCTGTCTAAACTGCCTCCACTTTCTGATCCTGTTCCATCGGACTGGGTAGTCGTTGAAGGTAACAGCTGTGTTATTAATATAGTTAAAAAATTAAGTTMTCGGCGTTCTCGCTGTGCATATCGAACTTGCATTTCTCCATAATAGCTTATTTCTTATTTTCTAACCTTAGACTAACTATTATTTCTGTGTATCTATTTGCAAATATTATATCAACTCATTTTAGTATTTTCCATCCACTTTCCTATATTTTAAGTGTTCATACAAATAAAACTTCTAAAAAAAAAAATCTGATTATTATAATGAACACAATTAGAAATAAATTAATCTATATTGCAACGGATTGCTTAAACGAAATGGTTAGGTCACATATTGTATACGATTATACGAATACTAATAGCTTACCTTTGTTTATTTCGTAGACGAGTTTGTGATGATACAYGCTTCGTACCTATCGCACATAAGCGAAGACGTAATAATAGCGCCTAAATCAAAATTGAACGACGGTGTGATTTGGCTGTTGGTTATTAAAAATGGCATATCCAGAACGACTTTTCTACAAGTAAGTGAATCATTAATCATTATATATTAAATRATATATTTGGAAATATGTTCAATAACAACCCGTGTTTATTAAGGCTGTACGTACGTAAACGTCCTATTAAAAACATTACTATTATATAGGATGATCATTCTTTCGGTAAAATAGGCCATAGATTATATAATATAATATAGGTAACCATTAAATTTTATTTTGGTAAATTTACTCTAATATCAAAACTAATCATTGAAACTAGTGATCGAACATTAGTCATGTGACATGACTCATGTCATATGTGTGTAAGACGACGACAACACATGCGGATGCGACGTTCTTTTAATTATTAATCATAAGTTTTTAATAATAGAATATAATGATTTTTACATGTGAGGGGGACCCTTCTTAAGATATTTTTATAAGCCWTAGTATTGATAAGATATTTATACAATATGTTATATGTATAATATTTTGAAAATATGTATATTATTGATTTTTTTCAAACTTTTACAATCATTTTAGTATCTCACTCATTGAAGAGATCAATTTTAAAACAACTTCTTGACTATCAAAAAATTTCTCCATAAATAAACTGACCTAAATGACCGACTCAGATAATAATAGTTATTTTAAATAATTAATTGCTAATTTGAGTTTATTAGATATTTGAATGGAAAACTTGAGAGTGTAWACATTTGTATAACCATCATGCAATATTACTCCAAAATATGTACTAACTATCTAACAAGTATCAATCATACTTAGTTATAGCCTTATAGGTTTTCATAAAAATTTTGGCAAAAGAAAAATGTAAATATTAAATTGATGCATACTTTAACACGTTATAATATTTTTAGGATAATAATAAATTATTAATAAACTATTTATTAATATCTATATATTATAGACTAGGTATRCGACGGATTATGTATCATAATAAACCTATAACTATATATATATTATGTATTATTAATTCATCAATGAAATGTACCTATTAAAGTATTAAACAATCATTGATTACATTTTGTCATTGCTCGAATTAATCGGTCATCGGCGGCAATGTGTATTTACTTTTTTATGGTTTGCAGTTTTTGTTGGGCCTGTCGTCCGGAAACCACTTGGCCGTACCCAACGTCGAGATGATCCCGGTGCGAGCGTTCCGGCTAGAACCTCTATCGGAAGGCAGCCACCTGGTTGTCGACGGTGAACTGCTGAAGCACAGTCCGGTACAAGCGGAAATCATGCCCGGCATCACCAATGTGTACGCACGGCAAAAGTTTTCCTGATGTCTCATTATCTCGGGCGGGTGCGATCGAACACGACACAAGAGTGATGAATACATTATTTTATGCTAATGTAGTTTACGTAATTTATTATTTGTTTTTATTTTTTAAATCCAGAGAAAATTTATCGATATTGTTACCTCGCTCGTATAATATTATGTATAAGTTACGCTGCGTTGTTGTTTCGTCTCTTTAATCACTCGAGAGGCGTATTTATATTTAATTTATTATCATTATCATTATTATTTAATATTTATTTTCAATTATTCGTTCTATCGCCACCAGTGACGTTACCATAAGAATTTTATAACATTATGTTTTTTTTCTCTTTATACCTAATATTCTCGTGTTATGGGACCATTTGTTAATTAAGTCAATAGGTTGTTGAATATTGAATTATAATTATTAAGGTCAAAAAAAAAAAAAAGAAGAATTAACATATAGTCATAAACACATATTATCGGCTCAATAAATGAATAAATTTGTGTTTTTCTTTTGCTCAATCTTCATTGTATCCAGGTTTCAGCCTGAATATTTTACAGTTCATTCATGTCAACACTGATCAACTAATATTATTATTTTTGTACTGTAATAACTAATTTATATGTAAAAATAATAATGTAGTATAGTATGGATAAAAACCAGGGCCGTATTCACATGAACCAACACATTATAAAATACAAAGGCCTTTTTTTTTTTTTATCAAAGATACATGTTAACATGAGGGCTTCTCATCCGTTCTTGATTATACCTAATCAAGAATGATAGAATTATTTATTTTTACTCTACAATTAAAAGTCAATTGCATATATCTATTATTGTGATTGTATTTATTTTTTGTATTACTTAAGCTTAGAAAAAAAAAWAATAATAAAGTTACCATGAATTTAATTTGCTGTTGTTCTTTACAAAAATTGTTACTCATGATTTGGTATTGAGGTTGAAGACTAATTAATAAAATTAATTTCTATAGTATTTAAAAATTGTTCAGTGTAGATTAGTCAACAAATATAAGATTAAATTTATAAYTTTTATAAACTCGCATATTAGTATAAATTCTGTGCACTCAACTTATAGTTTTACTGTTAAATAAATATATAAAAAAGTTAGTTAAGTTAGTATATTAATTTTACTTTCAACTGACAGGTTTATCACTACTATTATTTTTATATTAATTACATCACTTTCAATAACCTTAGTCAAAAAATTTCAATTTCAAACATAATTTTARGTCTTAATAATTTTTTGAGACTATAACATTCTGTAACGAAATCTTGTTACTTAGTAATTTATTTGCGGATTTGTAAAAATTCCCATYAACATCCCCAAAGATCAAAGAAACTTGGAATGATATACAACTAGGTAAAACAATCATTTTTTTTTGTTTAATCTTTATTTTAAAGTGTTTTTACAAATTAAAATATTTACAAGTTAAAATCATTTAAAATCTATTAATAACCAAAAATAACATCCAAATCACCACCATAAATTAACAATGCAATAAAAATGATAGTTAAAATCCTAAAAAGTTACAAAATATATTTTATATTCTTCTATGATTATCAATATTTATTCTTAAAATAATAAACAAATATTTTCATTCTTTTCTAAGATATTGCCCGGTGTTACAAATAAAAGAAATAATCTGTACTTATTTATTTGATAAAARCTTATAAAATTTCTAGTAAAAATAAGGAACCCGCAGCTGTTCATTCATCATTAGTATTACTACATAATTAAACATTCCATCGTGCCAAATATGTGTTTGCATAATCTATACGATGGTTTGAAAATATAAGACTTAATGAGTTTTAATCTATTAAATGATTAAAGCCTCTGGATGCCAGGCACAAAATAATTCTCAACAACTACTCGAATATCATTTTATTTTTTTAAATAAATAATGTATTTTATATRAAAAAAATACAAACTGACAATGCGTGTTAACTTACATTTTATTTTTAAATCCATAAAGTTGTTTATAAGTATGAATTATTTGAAAAAAAGATTTTGGAATTGTTTTAAATAAAATATTATGTGTTATTAGTTGCAAATGGAAAGTGAATAAAACAGTTGTTGATAAAAACTTKTCAGTTTTAAAATTATTTTTTATACATAGGTTCTTAGGTCTATTTAAAAATAATATTATTAAAACACTTAAAAAGTCTGTAGGTTTCTTAACAGKACGCTGTACCTGTATGTGTTGTCKAATCTTACAAATGTACAACAAAACAAATTTGCATTCAGGAAACTATATTATTAGTGTAAGCTTTCTAACAAAGATTTATTTTCAAACATAATGGTAAGAATAGTAAATTATTTGATTTGTAAGTTAGTTTTTTATAATATTTTGAATAATGATTATTTTAATATTATATTTTACTACTTACTCATTATGTTGTACGTTTGTAAGTCAGAAACTACACAGCGAAGTAGAGTCCCCTTAATAATTTAAACTAGTACAATATGTTATAATATAAAATTAAGACTATATCATATTTATTGTTTTAAATAATATTAAAATTATGATATTAAAGAGTTATTACTAATTTAGTCTTGAAGTAGAGCAAAAACACTATTTAAATTAATCAAAATGATATATTTTTCTATCAAACTATTYATATTAACAATAATAAATAAAATTAACTTACTAAATAACCAATCCAGTTCATCTTGGTAATCAGCAACTGTTTGTTATAAAAAGAAAAAATAACAGTACCAAAAACCATTATATTTTAAAAACCTATCTAATCCGTGAAATTATATTTTTTCAATATAATATATAGGATAAATCAACTTTTTTAAAAAAAATTGTAATAGTTATATTGTCAAAATCAACTGGGCAGGTTATAACTACACATTTTATAAACTTTCAACTGATTATTATTTCATTGTTTCAAAAATCATTCCCCCCCCCAAAAAAAAAAATATACATAAATAATTATTACTACAATCAATGTATAGCTCAATAATAGTATAAGAGTTTAAATTATAATATTAACTAATTAACCTATAATTCACAAGTCTATTTAAATAATCAATAATTTCATAAGACAGTATTAACTTATAATATAAGTATAAAATGTAATCAATCTCAAAAAAACATACATTGAATGATTTCAGGCTTATTTATTTAGTTTTAATGTTGATAAATTGTTTAAAAGGTCTTGAATTTCATTGCTAACCCTTTCACCTGTATCTGATATTTGTAATCTAGTTTGAAAGGCATTCAACAGTTCTGCTTCATCTGAGCTGTTTTTTTTGTCAAAATATGCTAGCAGCATTTCAATCACCTGCAATACTGTCTGTTTGACCGATGTACAAACGTCAMTTTTGCAATGAGTTAATAGACGTAACTTTGATTGGGCCAAGTGCAGAGGACTTCGGCCTTGGGCATCACAACTACTTACATCTGTTCCTGAACAWACAAAATATGAAAAAAATTAAGATCATCCTCCATGATTTTTGAATATACATTTTTTTGAATCTTAGTCGATTCCCACTTGACCATTTGCCAACTGTTGGTTTTTAAATTTTAGGGATAGTGACAATCTTCACATATAKAATATTATGATGACTATGATGCTTTAACTTTCATTTTTAAATGAATACTTATTTGAATATTATATTAAGTACAATTTAAAACGTAAATTCAACGGTTTCCAATTGTTTATCTAAAAAAATATAACTAGTTGTTAAATATTAAATAAAAATGTATTCAAATTTGATAGYCTTAAGTCCAAATTTAAGATTGTATATAAAATCTTGATAAAATGACAAGGAATCCAAATATGTTTTTGAAATCCACATCACACAATAATATCAATCAGCATGTTGGRCTTAAAATAGATTTTTTTAGCAGGGAAAGCAGTGTATTTGGAATCTATTTTAAGTATTATTTCAAAAAATTTCCTRCCACCAGATGACAAATGTCCCTACTCTTAAAGTGGGAATTGATCAAATACTAATCATTTTACCTCCTTTTAAGAGTAATGTTACTACACCCATGTGATGTGTACAAGCAGCCAAGTGCAATGGATTGTTTCCCAAAGCATCTTTTATATTTGGATTGGCACCATACTTCAATAACAATCTAAATATTCAGATTTCAAAATGAATTTTAAACAAACAACACTTATTTTATAATAGTGGTACTAATTCAAGATATAAATTTACCCCACAGCCTCTGAATATCCTTTGCTTGCAGCCAAATGTAAGGGCGTACGTTTTCTACTATCCCAACAATTTGGATCAACACCGTTTTTGAGAAGTTGCTCCAGTAGTTCAGTGTTATTCATGTTTGCCGCTCGACATAGTTTGTGACTGTCTACAATCATTGAATAACCCAAAATGTAAATTATCTATATTCTATACTAATGAAAACCAACACAGCACTATAYACTACCTCTAGACTGAAAAGCATTTGACCTCACATAACCACGACATGAGTGGACACGGCATGGGCCAATGTTGTTTCTGGTCTGAGTAGAACCATCCTTTTTCTCCATTTTCAACAACATTTCCGTGTACTCTTGAATAGGAGTCAGACACTGGATGAGAGACAAAAAMCAACCAACAATTACTAATCACCAATATATCAACGAGATAATGGGGAGGTGGGTGATACTCACAGATTGGAATCTATCCAGTGTGCCTGGAAACGTGGGGTTGGCCAACTCGAACAGGCACTTAAATTTACGGCCAGKAATCTCATTGAGCATGGGTCGAGCGAACATGATCGGAGGTTCGGATATAGAGTTGAGGCACAGGGATAGTGGAAAATCTTGGTTCTTCATCCTCCGTACCGGCACTAGAGACATCTCAGCTGACGACACGAGCCTTTTGTTGAACTTTGGCTGGGCACATTCGTCGTTATCCGTGCTGCTCTCCACGCCAGAATCGTTGGACGTCATATCTTCGAGTTCGTAGCTTGAATTACTTGTCCCMGCTCTCATCCCGGACAATCGAAGACATATTTCTGAACATGGATTCGACAGTTGCTTTTTTTTTTTAAATTGTTACACCATTTAACACAATAATTGAAACAAGCACTTGAATCATATACAAAAATACAAAAGCAAAGTGCGAATGTTAAAACAAAATACCTATATACGGCACTGAGTCTGACGTCTCTGTGTCTCTGTCTAGTCTGTCTCTCTGACAACTTTACTGCACTGTTTGTCCTTATTATTGTTTTCATTGCGTTATCAGTCTCATAGTTTATCGTCCGTCCGCGGCTGTCGACGTTCTGTTTTTTGTAAATACGACGTGACATCACAGTTCACTGACTGTTCAGTGGTTCACAGCATTCTCACAGCTGATCGTATAATCTCTTATACAAATATATATAATTCTTCCTAAATTCCAGACTTCCACTTTCTGAATTCCGCTCCACATTTGATTTTTAAAATAATTTCAAATTTGGTTCTTTGAATCTTTGATATTACTTAAATAAGTGTAATAAATAATAATTCTACTCTTATGAAATTCTGGACCGTACCTTGCTAAGCACTGGCTAGAGGGCATTTTCCAGGGGCGCAATTATATTATACGAAAGACGCATTTTCATCGATCTATTGATGGATTTTAATAGAATTGATCATTGTATAATGATTATAATACTTACCACAATTTACAAGTTGGAAATTTCACATATTTTTCTTACTTATAACACCTACCTATGGGCTATGATCAGTTCAAATTGAATTGGAAGGTTGGCTAATCTTTGATCATTGGATTCTTTCTGATTTAAAAATAGTATAATTTCTTTTAGTTTAGTAAAATAAATGTAATTTTTTCTAGATTAATTATTATACCTAATGTAATATCTATGTAAATTACTAGGTAATTGTGTGACAGTGATACAACAAACCTGATCGGGGCCCAAGTAAACTACTCAACTAGAAACCCAGAGTGTCAAACTAAATAGCACCCCATTTGTTTTAGTGATCCAGGCTCCAATTACCATTGTCAGGCCCTTTTTAAAATTTAACTTTCATTGTAATGTTGAACATTTCTAACTTAAATAAAAAATATTAATTTTGTTTCTTGGAGCACAAATAGCAAGTTTGCCTCCCTATTCAGTATTCAACTGGCATGGTACATTTTATAGAGCTAAATCGATCTATAATTTTTAGCTGGTGACAAAGTTTTTGCTTAAATTTTAAATCCCCTGTGCAGAAGGGGTAATGAGGTGATGGCAAATGAATTTCAGTAATTTTACTTTCATAGACACAGGCCGCACCAGAGGGCAAAGTGATATAATAAATTCTAAATATTACATACTTGCCAAAGAACTAATCAATACCAATATACCATATTTATTTTAGGAAGATAGATTCACATTATGACTATAATTTATAATATGTTTCAAAATAACTTGTTTCCAGTAGCATGGTAAAAAAGGTTTTATGACGTCTTAGTACCAATGAGGGATATTTTTGAGAAAATGGGTAAATATTTCATGGTGATCAATAATATAACACATGAATTATATTTAGTTATAAACTCATAATAGTTATATTATATAAGTTGTAGGCAACCAACGGCCTGTGCAACTATTCCATAGGGTAACGATTCTCAACCTAAGGTAAAATAAAAGAAACTAATAAAATAAAATGGATCATTGTTCTCATTAAATGTTATTTAKTTAATTTAATATTAATAAAAATATAAATAATAACTGTACATATTTAATTTTCTTTTTATGTATTAAAGATTAAACGCTTGTATAAAAGTAATTTTGTAGTTCCTATTAAGATAAAATTATATGCGTGTAAAATAAAATATACATTTTTTATAGGCAAAAATAAGACGTTATTTGGTTAAGGGGTACATGAATATATTTCAACTGTGTAGTGTGTATACTGTATATGCTATGCAGATATAAAAAGGTGGAAAACCACATTTATAAGACCATTATTTTATAAAATAAAACTAGAAGATTTAAATTTTTGTCCAACATGGCCTTTAACCTTTTTTAATTTTTAAAGTGACTCCAAGGCCCAGAGTTCAAAAAAGTTGCCAACTACTGGTTATATTTATTAATTATTAAATTATATTAAGAGAATTAAAGATGATTAGGTACTGAAATATGTTGAACATCGTGATTTATAAATGTTTACCACACACTTTTGGTGTAAACAAAAAATAGAATTAAAGGATTAAGATATAATTATACCAAACCATGGAATGTGAACTAAATTATTGTATACCCAATTTTGAAATGATCTTAATCTATTTATTACATATATATTATTATGAATAAAAGTACAATTATGGAAAATAAATTTAAGTTTGCTGATTAATTAGTTGTCGAATAGCCGGTATCCAAGTGTTGCATTGACGAGTGTGATCAACCATTAATGCCATTTGTAGTCTATTTGCTTCAGCATAATCATTAATCTTGATTGCTGTAAAAATGAAATACAATTTTTGACTATTATTAATTGATAATAATTATTTCTTGGATATATTTGAACCTTTGACTAATGCAATAGTTTTTTGTTGAACTATGTCGGTAAATTGACTATCCTTCCAACTGATTTCCAGTCTTGACAGCCGTTTACTGATATCTACTTTCTTGGACTAAATTTAGTAAATTAAGATTGTATTATGGATAGAGAAATAAACTAAGTTAGTAGTTATTAGTTAATATACTTGGCTACTCACATCTGATAATGTTGATTTTTGGATTGAATCGCTCAGAGATGTCATTACATACGATAAGCGTTCTTCCACAGGAATGTCACATGATACCAATGACGAAACTGCAGGGATTTTTGAAGTATTATCGCAGTTTTCATTGGAAATTATTTCATTGTCTAGATGTATTTGATTGTTAGTAGACTGCACGCTAGGAGCATTTTCCAAAACTCGTGCAGGTATTCTATCAAATATTTTAGGTCGATTTTCATGTTGAGCACTTACTGTGTCTTCAAATGAATATGAGGGTGGATCATTCCATCCAGGCGTATAAGCTAAACAAATATTCAACAAAAATAATGAAATAGATATTAGTTTTCTTATAATTAAGATAAGCGTGCAAAGTTGATAAAACTGTGTAACTAAAATCTATTTATAAAATAATAAATATTGTTTTAAATGTACATAAAACAATCAGGCATAGTCAAGAAAAATCAAATCAAAGACTATCTGCCTACTTATTGAAATTTAGTAACCTTTAAATATTTTCTTTATTATGCCATGTATTATCACATAGTAAAACAATCTCAAGAATGATTGAATAGATAGTTTCATGTACTTATATTCTTTTTATGCATTTTTTAAATACAGAATATCTAATAACCAAATTATTAAACATATATAAAATATTTTAATCATATAATTTACCATTTCTATAGGTAGTTATTCCTAAATTCATGTTAATGAATAACAAATAAAGCTCAGATTTAATGTTCTACACATACTATCAAAAAATAATAAAAAATTACTTTTTAATGGCCCTTAAAAAATTGCCAAAATATTGAAGTCTATATTACATGAAAATGATACAAAATATGGACTTAGAATGCATTGTCCTAGATCACATAAAAATAAATTTGGGTTGCATTTAAATTTGAAATCTAACAATAATTATTAATTAATTTTAAATAAATTTTAAATGATATAAACCCTAAAAATACATACAATTCTCAATTATACCTCGAATAAAGTTCAAAATATTTTTAGGGAAATTAATATGACAATTTACTAGACAAAGATACTAGAAATATAGTATTTCATTTATAAGTAGTATTTTGTACATAGTATTATTGAATATTTATAAGTAAAAGCACAAAAACTTACGTTTATATCCTTCGCTCATTGTACAATAATAGAACTTGTATAAATAATACAAACAACTTCAAGGATAACGTTTAAAAAAATAAAATCTAATGTTTAAACACCTGTATTAAAACCTACAATTTGGGAGTTTATTGTTGAGAAAAAAATATTTTATAATTATAAATAAAAACTAGTTAATATAAAATAAAGTAGATGGTATAATTTAAATTAGTTGTGTTACATAACAGCACAATAACAGTAAGGACATTAGTGATACTGATAAGTGTATTACCAATTTGATATTTAAATTAGTTATTGCCCATTAAACGAATGTAATAAAATCACAGAATATAATAATAAGCATATAAATTGATACAATACAAAAGCAAAAATTGAGCTTACAAGTGATGACCGTTATGAATAAAAACTTTAAAAGGATAAACTATTGAAGGTTGAACATTGAAATAAAACCTATAAGGCTATAAAGTTAAAGAATAACAAAAAACAGTAGCAGAAATGGTAGTCAGTATCACGATTTAAGATAGTATAAATATATATATATAATACATATATATATATCTTATTATATATATATCTTAAATCGTGGTCAGTACTCAGTATAGAGACAATCGGACATTTGGACAATCTGACACTTGCAGTGAGATATGAAGAGATAAGATAACACAGATTACATCATATCACAGAGCATAGATATATAAATATTTCGTGGGCTAAGAGTAAAAACTAAAAAGGTTCGATGCCAAATGCCAAAATATCTTATTTTACAGGAGAGCATTTTTACAGTGCCGTAGAAACTGCGGTCACATTTAAATTTCTATTATGGGGTCCATATTTTGTATATATGATATATATGATGGATGATGTATAGTAATAATGGATTACATACATAAGTACTAACTTGCTGTAATTCACGAACTTAGATAATATTTATAAACTAATTACAATTTAAAAACAATTTACAAATATTATTATGTAACTGATGGAGCGACATCAGCTATTTTACGGTTTTTGTGCAATAAATAATAATACAGTACCCCTGAAATTCAATGAAAAGCAACCTAACGTACAAAGATTCTTATCATTAGTCGTACCATTGATTATAGAATAGACTATTCTATAATCAATGGTCGTACGTAAAAATAGTCCCCTCCCTTAGCGTTGGTCCCCACTCACCAATTTCACACACATTTGCTTATTAGTTATTACTAACTTAGTAACTTATCTACTTATCTAGTAAGTTGTCTTATTATACTATTTTTGAATTTTTCAAATTTAAAATACTAAACGTACAATTTGACAAATTTATTAATTAATATTAGGTATCAACTATTAATTAGTGATCAGTATTTACTATAAAATACTAAMCTTATGCTTACAAATAGTGTCCAGTAAATTTTTGATTTTGATTTTGTTGTTAAAACAAACCGTTCAAAATGGGTAAAAGACAACATCAGAAAGATAAAATGTAAGTTTTTGTTGTATGATTGTCAAAAGCGTATCTTATAGACTATCTACCTACTATGTACATTAATTACTTTACTATGTATTTTTAATTTGTATGTTTAGGTACCTCACATACACAGAATGGTCAACACTCTATGGTGGTAAAAGACCAGGCATTGAAAAACCAAAATTTGCTCGATTGCCATTTGACCATTGTTGTCTATCACTTGTTGCTTTCAAGACACCATACTGTGATCCTGATGGTAATATTTTCGAGTATGAGGCATTACTTGAGTATATTAAACAGTTTAAACACAATCCAGTGACTGGAAAGGTAAATATTGTTTTTAAAATTTATTTTTGTGTTATGTAATTACTATACATTTTCCTCTATTATATTTTAGCCAATTGAGTTGAAAAAATTAATTAAGTTGAACTTCCATCGTAACGCAGCAGGAGAGTATCATTGCCCAGTCTTGTTCAAATCCTTAACTAAACACTCACACATAGTAGCAATTAAGACAACAGGAAATGTTTTTTCGTATGAGGTAAATATATTACATTTATTTTATCTATAATTTATATTTGACAAATGCACTTTCAGGCTATTGAACAATTGAATATTAAAACAAAAAACTGGAAAGATCTTTTAACAGATGAACCATTCTTGCGTAAAGACATAATCACTCTTCAAGATCCAACTAATTTGACAAAATTTAACATTGCAAAATTTCACCATGTTGTGAAAAAAATCAAAGTTGTAGATCCAGGTACAAATAATTGAAAATTATAATTAAATATATTTTATGTATTTACAATAAAAAGTTGATTTGATATTTTAGATGAAGAAGCACAGTTAAAAGACCCGGAAGGACGTTTAAAATCAGTGTCAAAAACTACTAGAGATATATTGGATACATTGGACCGAGATTATAAGGAACCAGCCAAAAAAGTCGAATTAGTAGCACAAAAACCAGATAAATTAAATGCTGTAAATATCAAATAATAATATTGAACATCCATAGTTAATTTTGATTTTATTTTAATGGGTTATTCTTTTTAAGGCTCATTATTCTACTGGCCGTGTAGCTGCTAGTTTTACATCAACAGCCATGGTTCCAGTGCTGGAACATGAATCAGCAATTATTGAAGAGAATGAAATCCGATTTGAGCGTATAAAAAAAAAGGGTAAGTTTGATTTTTCAAAAGTGTAAAAATAAAAATGATAAATTTTATTGAATAATTACAATATATAATTATTTATTTTTGCAGGTTATGTTAGATTAACTACTAATTGTGGACCATTAAATCTGGAACTGTTTTGTAAAGAAGTACCTAAAACATGTGAAAATTTTATAAAACTCTGTCAAAAAGGTTATTACGATGGTACAAAATTTCATCGATCTATTCGTAATTTTATGGTTCAGGGGGGTGATCCAACTGGTACTGGTAAAGGTGGTGAATCATATTGGGGACAGCCTTTTGAAGATGAATTCAAACAAAATTTAAATCACTCCGGCCGAGGTGTGTTGTCTATGGCCAATTCTGGTCCTGATACAAATAAATCACAATTGTTAGTATTCTATTAATAATTATAATGCATATTGATTTAATAACAGTCGATATAGATATTTATTCAATAATGCATTTGTTCAATTGTTAGTTTTATAACATACCGTTCATGTAAACATTTGGACAATAAACATACAGTATTTGGACGTATAGTAGGAGGTTTTGAAACACTTAATGCAATTGAAGAAATTGAAGTAGATAATAAAGATCGACCAATTACTGATATTAATATACTGAAAACACATGTATTTGTTGATCCATTTCAAGAAGTTGATGATAAGGTATAAATCCTAAATAGTTTGATCTAAGTGTAGGTATTAAATAATTATTATATTATTATGATTATGGTTCCCTGTAATTTTCTATCTAGATAGCAGAAGAAAGACAAGAGGAATTAATAAATACACCAGGAACTAGTATGGCTTCAACGGTACAAACAGAAGAAAATAAAATATCAAGTATAGCAATTCCAGGAGTTAAACTTAAAACATTTAAATCTGGGGTAGGGAAATACATCAACCCTTCGGCTTTACAAAAAAACAAGTAATTTATTTCAATTAAATTAAATTTCATTGGATATTACTGGCCTATGCACAACATAGACAAAATGCATTCATGCAAAAATAATTTTTTTTATGCACTTGAGTAATCTTACAGAAAAATTATACAGAATAACATTTTTGAGAGTGTGACATGTGGATTTGTCTTAATATTTTCTCAAAATAATTTTATAAAACAAATTAAATAATTATAATTTTACTAATTTCTATTCTGTGTATGCATGGCTAGAAAAATCATTTGAAAGAAAAGAAACGCTTTTTACAACAATGTAATTTTCATTTTTCATTATAATTTATTCTATTTTTTTAGAGTTGAAAATGAGGAATTGCCTAGCAAGAAAAAGAAAGTTATTGGTTACGATTTTCATGGATTTAATAATTGGTGATTTCATACAAATATGAAATGATAATTTTTGCTTATATATAACCTTGATTTTAAATATCATACAACTCATTATAACTGTATAGTTTATAATATACTATATACTATTTGATTGCATATTTTGATTAAACAACTCATTGTCATATTTTTTTTAATGATTTCTCATGCTATTGAGATTTCAGTTCTATAATGTTAATATATTATGTTTGTATTATTTTTGTGATATATTATAGTATGAAGATATTGGATAATAGTTTAAAAGTTAATATGTTTCAGCCTATGTTTGGGAGTCTCGCGGGACTTTTGTAAGATAAAAAGTAGCCTTTTGCTTTAAACAGTTGAAAATCTTTAGTCCATATTACAGTATTCAAATAGGAAGTAGATGATGAATATAATATTATGTAGGGCTAGCCATTCGATATGTAATTACTGATTTTCTCCACACACGGGCATACAAGCCTACCTTTGGTTCTCATTTCTAGTCCGTTCTATCCAGGCCCATCGTAAGACATTTTCCGCCCCAAAAGCGAATAAAAATAATAATTAAATTTCTGTCTTTTTTGGAAATTTAATATTACAATTTGCCGCCTTAATTTTTTTAAATGTTATGCCGCCCTAAAGCAACACATGTCTTGCTTGTACCCTAGCGACGGGCCTGGTTCTATCTTTATCTATGTTTTTCCTACCTTTTAGAGAAATGATCTAAAATATTTTACAATCAAGCACATGAAAACAAGAGCGTTATTGTCATCTTACTTGATTTACATGTTTATTGACTATAGTATAATATCTAGGAATTATATTTAAACTGATACTGTATATTATATGTAGGCTTAGAGTTAGAATTTAAACTGTTTTTATATATCCAATATCCATCCTAATGGATCTATATTTGTTTATAAGTATTGGATATGCCATTAATTCTAMTAAGTTGTATACAMCTGTATAATATTAAATAGAAAGTTTGCAAAATAATAATGATAATACTGTCTAAAGAAATATTTTTAATATAATGGACAAGTAATAAACAGAGTTGAAAATAAAACAATAAAAAAGTATTGTATAAATCATAGACCTATGACTAACATTAATACATTTTAAATAAATTATTAATAATAAAATATGTTATATGATACATTATATGGAGGTACATATACATACATGGATAATGGATGTTGAACATAACTACAACTAATTAGGAATATTTTTAATCTTGGAATAAAATCAGCAAAAATTATAATGGTTAAATATAATCTGTCACAAGTAACATTATTAAACAATAACTAATACAATATTTAGATGAGTTTCAGGCACTGTTATGCATTCCAATTTCCAATAACCTATTACTGTCAGATGATTCCTTTTTTTTTTTTTAATATATTTAATTTGAAACATGTTAGTATAATACTAATAGTATTGCTGTTTGTTTTTTAAATTTCATCTTAAAAATTATTTTTTGTTTGCTCACAACATGCCTAGGTATATAAATCATTAAATATAAATATATAATGAAAAATGAATATATGTGCATATATTTTTTTAAATAAAGTGCATGTTTCAAATTTAAATTGTATAAAAAAAAAACTTAGTCCTAATTATATCTTCTAATGTAATTACTAAAACACACAGTTTTTGATTTTAAAATTAAAAGATTTACATTGGTTTTAAAAATTAATTAATTAATAAATTATTGCCTAACATTGTAAGATATTTTCTGTTGGTAGGATTTTTTTAGATAAACAATAATGTAATTACATTTAATAATTTCAGAGTTTAAAACTCAAAGATTATTTTTAAGCTAAGCAAAATAAAAACATGAAATTTTAGTATGCAAATATTTATAATAAGCTTTACTTTTGCATTAAATTCATAAAATGTATATAAGTATATAACTTTTCCCAAACATTTTAAAATTCGTAATTTTTATAACAAAACATTGAACTCTGTTTAAAATTGTTTAGGATAATAATTTACAGAACACATTAGATTGTCATGTAATATACATAACTACCAAAAAAACACGCTTTTCTAACGCTTGATAGGATAAAATTAAACAACTTGGAACTCTAACTGTCCTTTACACTGCAATGATGGCGGTGACACTAAAATGCAGCAAGAAAATTATTTACCACCACCTTTTGTAGTGTATGGTAGCCTCTAGATATTATTTTCATTTGCAAATAATAAAATGCAAACATATAAAACATTATAAATTATGATTTTGATTTAAAAATATGTTTTTTTATTATTTTTAGTGGGATGCAAAAAATATCTTATTATCAAGATATTTTTTATCTAATTTAATTAAATTAATTAAAATATGAGAAATCCATTTATTGAATGGATTTCTCATATTTTATCTAATTTAATTAAATTTTTAAAAATTTAAAATGGTTTGTTTATAATATATATATTTTTATAAAATTTAATTTACACTGTCTTATTAATGTATGTATTATCAATTTATTCCTGATTATACATCAAATAAATTACCTTAAAAGCTTTAAGTTACAATTAGTATATTTTTAAGTTGCATTGTATTTCTAAAAAAAAACTCCTACAATAACACTTTAAAAAAAAAAACATGATTCCTCCAAAATTAGAATACATGTCAGTGAATGATTAGAGAAGAATACCACTGGGGTATACTATAGTTTGAGATATCAACAACTTATTATTCTACTTTATTAGTTATATAATAAAATAAACAGATTTTGTAATCCGAAATAGTTTAAAAATTGTTATCTGTTTGAGGTGATCTCATTACTCCAACACCGCCTCCAAGTCGTCGATAGTTCATTGTACCACAAAGTCGCCACTGATTTTGACTCTGATCATAAACTTCAATTGTTTTTAGGTAAGCTGTACCATCAAATCCACCAACAGCATACAGTTGTCCATTCACTACAGCTAAGCCTACACCACTTCTACGAGATGTCATGGCAACTATTGGAGACCATGAATTTGTATGTGGATTATATCTTTCAGCACTACTTAATTCCATGCAATCATCACGCCCCCCAACTGCATATATCATGTCTTTATAAACAGCACATCCCAAATGTTTTCTTCTTGTTGACATTGGTGCCATTACTGTCCATTTATTTTGTCTTGGATCATAACGTTCAACAGAACTTAATGGTGATTGTCCATCTGATCCACCAATTGCATACAAATAACCTCCTAGTACTGCCACAGCAACACCCAATCTTCTAGTTGTCATAGGGGCCACTTTACTCCATTTATTTTCCTTGGGGTCATAACGTTCAACATGACTTAAACATTGTACACCATCTTGACCTCCAACTGCATATAGCAAACCATCTAAAACAGCCACTCCAACACTTGTTCGACATGAAGTTGTAGGAGCCACATCACATGACCATTGATTGGTCTGAGGATCATATCGTTCTATACTATTAAGGTAAGACTGGCCATCGTGTCCTCCAACTGCATACAATAAATCATTAAGTACAGCTACTCCAACACCACATCTTCGTTTACTCATTTGTGCCTGTAACTTCCAATCCTCTGTTTGTGGATCATAACGTTCAACTGAAGCTATAGCATCTCCACTACACCAACCTCCAACAGCAAATAAAAGTTGTCCCCTTTGAGTAGGTTTACGAGGTCGAGTTCGTGGTCCTTGCATTAAAGGTCGTTCTTGAGGTAACAATAAATAGTTTTTAGCTTCATCAACAAGATCTCTACATGTTTCATCACTACGAACTAATAAGTCTGCACCTACAGTGCCAACTAGAAACTTGGGACTTAACAAAGGTAATCGTACATGCTGGAGTACTTGAGGAAGATTCTGCCTTCGCTCAGAAATATTATACTTGACCCAAGACATTGCTGCGCTGAAAACTTGCTCTTCTGTTCTCACATTAAGTTCGTCACTGGCAATTAAATCAATTAGTTGTGTAACTGGAAGAAGAAGAAATTCCTCACTTTCCATGACTTCTTGAAAATTATGTTGTGTGTATTTATCGGCAACACGTAAAAGATCAAGACAAGAATGTGTATCTGCAAATGCTCTGATGCCAAGACAATTTGATGGATCAAGTTGTCTCCTTAAAAACTCACAACAGATATCCTGTATTTCAGTTAATTGCAATAGGCAAGCAGCTGGAAGAAGAGTTTGGACATTAGATTCTTCTACTGTAATTCGAGCGGAATAACAAAATTCAATTAAAAGCTCCATTGCTATTTCATCCATATCACGTATAGTGACTTCTGTTTGTCGAGATTCAGCTAGATCTCCATTAAACATAGCCCTGAAGTATGGACTACAAGCAGATAAAATGTTACGGTGAGCGAATATTTTCCGATTGTTAATATTGAGAACAACATCACATAATTCACGATGACGACGCATAGAACTGAATTCGGCTAACATACATCTAGGATGTTTATCAGAGACGTGTGTTAGCCGATTAGGCAAAGGCGAATCTGGCTCCATTGGACCCATATGTAGTGCAGTAGACCGTGCACCAAGGGATGAAAAGAGATGCACGGGTGGAGAACACCAATCCCACGTACCTGATAAAAAAAATTGATATCATAATTATTCTAACAATCTTAGATGTTTTTAAATATAATCGCTGAATAAATACCTACTAAATGTATTATGTAATTTACATATGAAAAATGAATATCTATTTATTTTGTAACTACTTAATATTAAAATATAAGTACACTCTAAACTATGTAGTTATGTAAAAATATATATTGATKATAAATTTTAGAAATAAATTGCACGATTATCAGTTAGTAATTATTTTAATTTTTATGCGATATTCCAAATTTATTAATATTAACTAAAACTATTTGTATTGTGAAACAAGCATTAAATAACAAATAGTGGATATGACCTGTTCTTAAATCTTAATGAAATCAGATATCAAAGCATTTTTAATTTATTATTATTTTTTAATAAGAAACATATTATAAGTGAGTAGATACCAAATAAATGGTTGTTTGTTTTATTATTCTAATATGTATTCTCAATCAATAATAATTTATAGGTATAAAATTAAATACAAAGTACTCAATGTCGTTAAACAGAATTGTAGAATATTACTCATAGGTACCTACAATTTCAATAAAAAAAACTAAGGGTGTTTAAGCTATGCATTTTATCATTTAAGTTTTTTTTTTTGTGAGGAAAAGTTTTTGATACATAAACAAGAAAATTATTTGAAAGCGCTAATTTTAAAATTGGGGGTAATAATACACCCTAAGCCCCCCTATTTGTGCCTATGCTATTACTAAATGTCGTAAATAGATGTATAAAACTGTAAAAAAGTTTTAAACTTAAAAGTCAAATTTTAACTTGTTTATAACCAATAATAAGTATTTTGGTGTTATTTCCTATGATTAAGAACATTAACAAATATAAAACAAGTTATTTGATGTGTTTTATTTATAATATCTACAATATATTTAAAAATAATATTAAGTTAAAATAGAATGTTGAACATTTGAATTAGGTCATTTACTTTGAAAATTATTATATTGTATATGTCTTAACCAATTCTAATACAATAAAATACAAATATAAATATTTTGAACTATACCTTCAATTTTGCAGTCTATTTAATAACAGTTTAAGAAGATAATAGTATAGTATTATAATAGGTAGTGATTATTGTACTAAGTATAGAGGATAAAATTATTCAAAAAAATGTTTTAATGCAATTATTAGTGTACATATTGTTCAGTGTAACAATTCATTTTTAATCAACTCACAATTGTTTTTTAAAATTATTAATTTAATAAATGATTTTGGATTTAGGTAGTTGTAAAAATTAAGATTAAAAAGAATAATTTATAATTTAATTTTGATATTTATAATTTATATTGTCAATTGTCATTTGTCATAMATAATAATAAAAACAACTATTATCAATAGCTTTATCGTAATCGACTGTGACATTACAGTGTTACCGTTAAAACAAATTGAAAATACAAAATGTATTTTTACAAACAACCTTATGTATGGTCACAGTACATCCACAATCATTCTTTATGAGCGTATGAAGTCAAAATTTTGTGTAAAATTTGTCTTCAAGATTCTCCATAAGTTTTCCAACAATTAACAAAATAAAAAAGCTTCTGAAAATGAAAATTCATTTATTACAAGAGTTTGAAGTTAGACATCGGATATTATAATAAAACTTATGTAAAATGACTAAAATGTGAGTATTAAAAATATAACATTTATAGTGTGTACTAATTATAAATAGAAATTTTAAATATTTCATAGAATTTAATATGACCACAGCCAAAGCCCGTTTTGTAAAAACGTTTCACAAAAACATGATCAAAATATTGTATAATATTATAGTAATATTACGTAAGTTATAAATATTAATTAACGTACCTAAGTAGATAGATATTAAATGATATTATATTTGTTTGGTAAAGATTTTGATGGGGGATACGATCAGGTAAGTTCAAAGTTACTATAAAAAAAGTAACTTGTCTTGTAACTTACTTAAAAATAACTTCATTTTATATTATTAGCTTGTATTAATATTTAGATTTGCATTCAGTGGCGTATTTACGTTTGTGGCGGGGTCCAGTCTCCGGTACCACTGCCCCCCCTCCCTCCAGAACCTCTTACACGAAAAAAAACTAAAATTCTTACATATTTGCAGAACCCGAGTCCAGGGGCTCCATTTGGAGGGGAGAGTAGGGTATGCAAGTGCACACCCTGAATTTCTTATTTGCTATTGGCCTAGGCGTCACTGATACACGGCCTTGCTGCCTTGGCCTTCAGTTTTCCTATCTTTAACTTTATGGTTTAGGTCATAAACTACTTTTAATGATTCATTTGTATTTTCTATTTTTATTGATATTCTAATTTCAAATATAGGTACCTAATTATCAATTAAATTTATGCGTTAAAAAATTTCAAAATAGTAATAGTTAAATGGTATTATGGTAAGATATCTAGTACCTAAAATATTAATATTTAACTTATTGATTTGTAATATTTTWTGCATGAAAGCCAAATGTTTTTTTGACAGTAAAAATTGTATAGAAAAAATACGATGAGAAATGTTTTTTGACAATTGACCTGGTGGTTGGAAAATATTGGCCTCTTTAATTAGTTTAATTGCATCCACACCCTTAAAAAAACTGAAATGGCGCCCCTGATGGAGGCACGGGCGGACACCGGGTCGCGTGGACATATCTTTTTCCTGTGAACAAAATATTATATAAAATATAGTTTAAAATTAGTTATCACAGCTAAAATAGATACATGTCCTGCAGCATGGTTTTATGTAGGTATTAACTAATAAGTATAGAAATTATAGTAATTATACATTTATACATTAGTTATGTATTATGTTATTCTGATTACGGTCTCCAAGTTACGACTTATAAACTGAGGATCCCCCTCTCCAGAACTATTTAAAAATACGTCACTGTTTGCATTTATACATGTTTATATTATATTGATTTCATTCATAATAATTAATTATTTTTTTGTTAAAAATGCATTAAATTTTAAATTTTAATAACTATAACTCTAAAATGTATTACAATATTTTTTCTTAAACGTTAAGAATTATCTTTAACGATAGATATTATTAGATGTTGATACTTTTGAGATTGTTTGAATTTTTAATCTGAGCAGAAAGTATGATTTAAGAAATAAAATGGAGCATGCAATAATGTATTAAAAAGTTTGTTAGTTTGTATTTTATTTGTATTATAGTTTGAACAATATGACGTTAGAGTGCAYCACTATGTTCATTTTTTAATTTAAAATAAATTGGATAGATACCAGTCGTATCTAACAGACTAGATAGTTTTGTTTTGTATTCGATGTTATTACTAAACATTTTAATGGTCCAAAATAATATTTTAGCTTATAAAGTTCTAACTAATGTAGGTATTTAATTTTTTATTGTTTTACTAATAGAAAAAGTTTTAGCAGCATGGCAATAGGTATTTTTCTATTATCTATATGAGCGTGGMCAATGACATACATTTGACACTATTTAATTTTTTTTTTTCATAATATGTAATAATAATAATTCTGTGTATAATTATTAAAATAATTTGTCAACAGGTTTATTAATATTTTTATACAACATTTTAAAATAATTAATTATAACCATAACATAATATAGTTGATTTGCATGTATATTATGTTATGGGCAATGTTAACGTTTGGTTAAAGTCGGCATTAGCCGGATAATGTCAACATTAGCCATTCATTTTGGCTAATGTGTAATTTTTCGTTTATAAACATGAAATATCAACATTATCCGGATAATGTTAACTTTAACCAGTCAATATTGGATAATGTTAAAAGTGATATATTAGAGTTGTTACCATTCTATACGATAATAAAGCGTTGGACTTTGGACTGTCAGAGTATATTATAATATCTTAATTAACCTAATCGAGGTTATAAATTATCTTGCCGATAAAGTGAATAATATACAGTGTGATCACAATTTAAGGTAACATTAAGTATCTCTGATGGATGGCCTGCCATGTATTGAAATGGGGTTTTCGAGGGGTAATAGGAAGTACCTATAAATATTTGTCATATTTTCAGATAAATTTCAAATTTTTAACACTTTTGGTGTGCGCATGCGCAATACAACTTGACGGGTAATGTTAACAGTTGGCTAATGTTGTATTATCCGGCTAATGTCGACTTTATCCAAATGTTAACATTACCTATAACTGGCCATAACATATATAATATTAAATGAATATGTTGGTAAATTTGTTATAATAATTTGTGTCTATTTAATAAATATAATCATGTATTTTTGATGGTATTGGTATACCTACCTAAATTTTGTATTCAGCACAAAAACTTTAGAAATAGAATTATTTTTTATTTTTCATTTTATTTTATTTTAAATTGATTATACGGACTKAGCCTCTTAAAAATTTGGGATTATAGAAGTTACAAAAATAGTTATTAATAGATAAAAATACAATTATACAATTACAATAACTTATACTAGTTATACTATAGATAGTATACACGATTAGATGAATAAATTACTAATATACATTGGAAAACGAAATGAGACGCCTTAGAAGACATATAGCTATAGTAGCCATATAGGTGGTAAAAGCTCATGGACGAGAATAAAGAAGTTTGAAGCAGATCAGAGATGCAATGTAGGTACTTATTACTATATTTGTAACTTATAATTTACGTCGATATATCATAATAAGCAATCTGCTAATATATTGACATGTTGTTACTTGTATGTATGTATATATATATATATGTATATTCAATAGTCTAAAAACTATAATCACTGCTGGTTTTATTAATTTACCTATAGGCTGCAGTTAGGATTTTTATTTTTTTATTGTTCTTAGTTTACATCAGCGGCAATGGGCATTTTAGTTACGTTTTTTTTTACCGTGAACATTTCAAAAAGAACAAAAAACATTTAAAAATAGTTTTATTTACAGATCTATGCAGTTGTATCATGCATTTTATGGTTGTACAGAAAGGTTTTTTTTTTAAAGAAGTTTTTCGTTTTATTGGTATTTATCTTCTGCATTGAAAACTAAAGCTGCGTCCAAATTGGTTGAGATGCCGAGTTTTTTTTATGCCTTCTTCACCTTGAAAAAAATTTATTTTGACTGACGATTATTTGACAGGCAATAAGGAAAGGTTGAATAATTCTTTAAGTCAATGTTTTTAACTATTTGTTATTTTTATTATAATATATTTGTTGTAAAAATGTGAATTAAAAATTCAATATTTGGTATATATGGTAATGATTCTTTGTAGGTCCTCTTATATTTGATACATGCAGTGATTAATTTTATGTGGAACTGCACTTTTTGATTTCTATATTAAAGTTTAAACGATTATAATATTGTGTACATTATCAAAAAAATAAAAACTATCTTTTTACTTAAACTATTCTAAAATTATTTTTTAAATGTAAGAATTTAAAGTTTTTTTTTTAGGTGGCTTGGACGCTTGATAGTTGATACACAATTCGATATTAGTACTTTACAATATTAAAGCACTAACGATTAAATATTTTAATATAACTAAATTATAATTTAAATTGTTACGTATGTTCTATAATCTATATAATATGTGTAACAMGGAATAATAAATTCTCTTATTCTACTTATTTTAATAAGGTATTAGTAATTGTTAATAAAATGGAAAAATTAACTGCCTATACTAGATACCTACACGACTTTATTCGGCTTATAATGAATAGATTTATATTTCACAATTCACAATTTGTAGGATTTATTCAAGGGTAACTACTAACTTTATACCTTTCAGCGTTTTTCATTCATAAACGCTGCTTATAAGGATCAATAACTGCTGGCACTCGCACGTCATCAAAGCGTGGTTACCATGGGTACTTGTTGCGTGTCCCTTTGACGTCAATGGTATCATCATTTACGTCACTGGTGAGCGGAGACATGATAAACGAAACTACTTGTAATCTTTATCTAGTCTGAATTCAGCTTAATAACAATTGAACTATTTTTTTATCAAAACATTATTGTTATGTGGAACCTATACTTATTGAGTTATATTATTTTAAATTTATTCGAATTTTTTAATGTTTTTAGTTTTTATAGCTTCTTAGTGGATCGATGTACCTATTGTTTTTACAACGTTGTATGTATCTTATTGTGCGTATAAGGTATAAATGATAAGTGATAGAAAAAATGATTCTATCTATTATTTTGAGGGTAATGATTTATGATAAAAAATTAGGGAAAAAATCTAGTTTAGCGGCCACGAGAAATTTTC